TCACATTAGTAGCCCTCTTCACAGCAGAGCCCCCTGCTCACATTAGGAGCCCTCTTCACAACAGAGCCCCCCTCCTCACATTGGGAGTCCTCTTTACATCAGAGCCCCCTTCTCACATTAGTAGCCCTCTTCACAGCAGAGCCCCCTGCTCACATTAGGAGCCCTCTTCACAACAGAGCCCCCCTCCTCACATTGGGAGTCCTCTTTACATCAGAGCCCCCTTCTCACATTAGTAGCCCTCTTCACAGCAGAGCCCCCTGCTCACATTAGGAGCCCTCTTCACAACAGAGCCCCCCTCCTCACATTGGGAGTCCTCTTTACATCAGAGCCCCCTTCTCACATTAGGAGCCCTCTTCACAGCAGAGCCCCCTGCTCACATTAGGAGCCCTCTTCACAACAGAGCCCCCCTCCTCACATTGGGAGTCCTCTTTACATCAGAGCCCCCTTCTCACATTAGGAGCCCTCTTCACAGCAGAGCCCCCTGCTCACATTAGGGGCCCTCTTCACAACAGAGCCCCCCTCCTCACATTGGGAGTCCTCTTTACATCAGAGCCCCCCTCCTCACATTGGGAGTCCTCTTTACATCAGAGCCCCCTCCTCACATTAGGAGCGCTCTTCACAGCAGAGTCCCCCACCTCACAATGGGTGCCCTCTTCACAGCAGAGAATCCCTCACATTAGGAGCCTTCTTCACAGCAGAGCCCCCCTGCTCACATTAGGAGCCCTCTTTAGATCAGAGCCACCCTCCTCAAGTTACGAGCCCTCTTCCCATCAGAGGTCCCTCCTCACATTGGGAGCCCTCTTCACATCAGAGCCCCTCACATTAGGAGCCCTCTTTATATCAGAGCCCCTCACATTAGGAGTCCTCTTCACATCAGAGCCCCTCACATTAGGAGCCCTCTTTAGATCAGAGCCCCTCACATTAGGAGCCCTCTTTAGATCAGAGCCCCCCTCCTCACGTTAGGAGCACTCGACACCGCAGAGCATTCCTCTCATTAGGAGGCCTCTTTACATGAGAGCCCCCTCCTAACATTAGGAGCCCTCCTCACATGAAAGACCCCCTTTAACCCCTTTGTGACTGACGACGTACAGTGTACGTCGCCAGCATCGGGGCTGTTTAAACAGACTCCCGGTGACTTTTGCCGCCGGGACTCTGTTTAAACTTGTAGAGCCGACTTTACAACAGAAGCGATCCTGGCGACTTACCTGTCGCCAGATCGCTTCTGAGTCTTGGCATTCACAAAATATATAATGTTGGGGGGTTTTAAGTAATTTTCAGGCCTAAAATTTGGAATATAACATGGGTACAAAAAATTGAAAAAAAGGCCTCAGTCATGAAGGGGTTAATATGAGGAGACCCTTCACATCAGAAGCCTGTCTGCACCAAGAGAAGGAATGGTGCTGTGTGAGGCATCCCTAGGGATGGCAGACTGCGCCCTGGTTGAGAATTCCCAATCTGGAGCTCAATGTTACTCTAAAAGCTTCAACAAAGCTTGCTGAAAGCTCTGAAAATGCTTGAAATAAAATGATGATGTTAAATGGGTGGCAATATTAGTTTAATACTACCCTTCTTACCATCTTGTCTTGAATTGTAATGTCTTCCTTATATTGTAAAGCACTGTGCAAACTGTTGGCGTTATATAAATCCTGTATAATAATAATAATAATAATATGAAATGCTGGAAGCTGGAACTGTGAGAGGACAGCACAGTATTGGAAAAAGCAATACATTCAGGAGGCTATACCTGATATAGCCAGCAGGGGTCAGGGTCCAAACAGCGAGTCTATACCATTGTATGACCAGCCTGGGGCAGGCTCCTACTAGGGAATCTATACTCCTGTATGACCAGCAGAGGGCAGGCTTCTACTGGAGAATCTATACTAATGTATGACCAGCAGAGGGCAGGCTTCTACAGGAGAGTCTATACTCCTGTATGGCCATCAGGGGACGGGCTCATACTAGGGCGTCTATACCCTTGTATGGCCATCAGGGGCAGGCTCCTACTAGGGAGTCTAGTCTATACCCTTGTATGGCCATCAGGGGGCGGGCTCCTGCTAGGCTGGAGCTGTTCACAAGCAACTGCCACATCCAATATGGCCGCTTCTGCGTTCTGTTCCCTAACGACCTTCCGTGCGCTCTGACGCCGGGCCGCTGAGCACTGTGGGAAAGAAGATGGCGCCCATGCAGCAGGAGTGAGGAACGGGCCGGCTTCCTGGAGACTGTATCTAGCTGTGTTGGGATAGGGAAGTGTGACATTGCCGGGAGGTTAGACCCGGAGCTGAGAGGAGCCGAGGCAGGTGACAGTGTGTGTAGAATGTGAAGACATATATACACAGTGCCGGGAGCAGAGCACTCCTCTCTGAGTTGTTGTGTCAGCTCTGTACATGGCAGCATTCGGTCTGTGTCCTGGGAAGATGGAGGAGCTGTCAGTGTCCTCTCTGTATGGACAGCCTGTCATATGTAACCTTGGCCATTGCAGGGGACACCGAACCTCCATATACATGGCTGCCAACTGTCCCTCTGAGGGAACCACATCCCCATGTCCCTCTTTCCTCCTCTGTTCCTCTTATTGGTTTGTTGCATAGACCTCTATCAAAAATGATCATTACTATTAAAGTGTATCTATAGGCAAAACCTTTTTTATTTAGTTTTGGATAGAATGGGGAAAGCTTACAGCCCCCTTCAGGTTTTACAGCTATCCGGGGCTCAGTTACAGAGATTAACCCCTCACTTCCTGTTTTGGGGACAGCATTTTGCCAGACAGGAAGTGAGCAAAGATCTGCAACAGGAAAAAAAGACTAAAATAAAAATGTGACTGTTCCAGCATTATCTAAGTGTGAAGCCGGCCTCCGGGTATTAATGTCAGCCTATCACTGGGAAATATAACCAGACTCTCCATTCAGTGTGCCTCCCCCTATGCTGCAAGTGTACACTGATCATTTATGGCGAGGGGTAATGGGGGGAATTTATCAATACTGGAGCAGATTTGCACTTCAATCAGCTTCTCTGTCTCATTTTCAAATCTTACCTGAGCAAACTGAAGAGAGATGCTGATTGGTTGCTCTGGGCAACTGCTCCAGATTCTGTCTGCTCCAGTTTTTTAGAAATTCCCCCAATTGTGTAAATGACTTGACTTACCTGATCCCCGCTCCCCTCTGCTCCGGCTTGTGGACTGTTCCTCTGCATTCGCATTTATAATGTGGGGCTACGGACCCTGCACTGTAAGACATCAGCGGGCCTCTGACTGCCGGAGTGGATAGGAGTAGAGAAGAGGCTGCAGGTGCTGCTCATGGAGATCAGGTACATAAAATTCCTTTTCACAATACTCCTGGACATAAATGAGCAGTTAACCCTTACAGTACATGGGCAGCCTCACTACAAGGGCAGCCCCCCCTCCCCCGAGATAGGCTTTAAGACCAACAATCTAATATATTAAGGCTTCCCAGCCCTTAGATGTGGTGGCTGCATTCGTTTTTATTTTCTAAGTCTTAAGAACATTTTCAGAAAAACTCCTGCCTGAAAAACCTTGAGTCCTTGTAACTTCCTGTTCACCAAACTAAAATCTTAATGTCAGCAGCCTTCTGAGTTATCTTCTGTGTACTACAAACCCATCTCATCTATGTAATGGAGAGAGGGAGGGGTTTGTAGCCGATATCAGGCTGACAGCCTAGGGTGACATTGCTTCTTCATCAATACAGTACTGTGAGAGTTGTCACCCTGGGACAGGAAGTGTATTCCTGGCAGGATTTCCAGGTGAGAGTAAAGGAAAAGGGAGACTGAAAAAGAAAACGAATGCAGAGACCTCCTGCATGCTTGTTCAGTCCGGGGGGGGGGCTGTATTACTTACCCCATTCCTCGCTCCGGCGCTCTCCTCGTCTTCCTGATGTGTGTTGTGGTCCCTCACTGTCCTCATGCACAATGCAGGACTATTGGCCCTGCGTTGCTCTTAAAGGCACGAGCATGTGACCTTCGAGAATAGGCTTCGGGAGACCAATCCCACAGATGGAGGGAGCCTGCTGGACTGAAGAATGAGATAAATATTGCACCCCATTCTTTGACCCCTAGATTTAAGGAGCATTTAACCCTTGCAGTGAGGGGGGCCCACTACAAGGGTATTTTCTTCAGGTGCTCACAGTGGAGCTTTAACCAATAATTGTTGCATGTTAAATCTTCATGGTCCATGTACCTGGGGGCGTGGCTAGAGAGTCCTTTGCCTTCAAGTATATCTAAAGCAAAACATTTCTTACAATTTTGGATAGAGTAGGGAAAGGGTTAAAACTCCTGTCATTTTATTTTTTCCATCTGTATCACATCATTAGCGAGATTTCCCTTCCTGTCCTGTAGAATCAACAGGAAGTGAGAGGATATCTTTGCAATGTGGGGGAAATCCCCTCTTGGTTGTCATGGGAACAAGTGTCCCTATTGGAAGACTGGCCCTCTAGTCGTGTTCTGGTGATTCTCTCATTTTCATTGCCAGTGACATTGGTGATCAGGACAGTTAGAGAGCCAGTCTCCTTAATGAGGACACAGGCAGCAATGGAAACCTGACAGGGGCTCTAACCCCCCTGGTCACTCTACCCAGATGATAAGAAATGGGTTTAGTTGTACTTTGTGGTGGAAGGTGACTTGTGTCGGAGAGGTGGATGGTGTGCTTGTCTTGTGTCCTCATACTGTACTGCTTTTATTGTGTGATCTAATCGTACAACATGAAAATGAGGGGCACGTAGAACCCATTGCTGTGAGTGGCCTTCGTGCTGTAACAATGGTGATTCCGATACCAGACACATTTGCTCGCAGGGTTTGTGTACGGCCTGAAAATGATAAAAGCTTCCCCACGTTTCAGTGCTGTGTTCAGGACAGTCATGGAGAGGAGAGGAGATGCAGAATGTTTTGTTTAGGTTTGTATAGAGTAGGGAACTGTTAGATCCTCACTGCCAGGTGGTGGCTGCTGTCTTTGTTTTTCCCCTCACTTCCTCTCCAGCTGACAGGTTGTCATAGAGACAGGAAGTGATGGGAAATATTATCAGTGGGGACAGCATGGTGAAGGGTTACAATCTAAAGCTGACCATACACTTTACAACTATCGCACGAATTTTGTCTTGCGATGGTTGTAAGGTAATTAAAAGCTCGTAAGATCTGCCCATCTTGGACAGGCAGATCGTACTTGCGATCATCCGCTGAGGGGAGGGCTTCTGATGACTGCAATGCTGAGCGGGCGCACACCGGCACCGTATTTGTCTTACGAGCACCCCACAAACCCGCCGAAAATCATACGATTCTCGGCGGGTTTTCCAACGTGCTCGTAAGACAAAAGACGCGCGACCGTACAGTAGAAACGGTCGCCCGCTGCCCATACTCCTGCCGATTATCTACGATCGCGGGATTTCGCGCGATTATCGTACGATAATCGGCAGCTGTATGCCACCTTATGACTGATAATGTTGCCTGGATGTGTCTTTCTCCATAAACCCCATCACCGTTATTCCATGCCCTGCTTGCACGGTGTCCGGAAATATTGTCAGTTGGGTGACACAGCAATAAAAGCTTAGAACTGAGCGTCGGGCCAGTATACCCAAAGATTATACACAGAGAGTTGGGAATGATTAAAGCTGAAGCTTAATCTGGTTGTAATTTGTCCTCCTTGGTTCCTCCTCACCTCATCATCAAAATGCTAATAATATTTTTAAATAAAACCTTTCCTTTTAAATACCTAGCTATAGGCTGATGCCATCACTGGGTCTCTGTTCTTTTCTATGCAGTGCAGTAGGCCCCAACTAATGATTATTTTCATAATCGATTAGTTGGCCGATTTTTTTATTTTTTTGATTTAATTGGATAATAAAATGAAATACTATCCTTTACTTTAAAATGAAATGCACACATGGAGTGTTACAAACAGTTTACGTCAGAATAAAACTGCATGCACAATTTTTTGCAATCACACTGCACTGGAAAACATGCGGCATTGCAGTAACCAGTGTTCCAATGCGGGCGATCACACTGTGGGTGGGAGGCGTGTTTGGGTTCAGTAGGAAATGGCCACAATTTGTCCCAAATATTAGGAGTTTTAGTGTTACAGTTGCATGCATTGCTTATCCGGAGGTTTATGTAAGTTCTAATGTAATCTACTGGATTGGTAGGTTGGGACGATTCCATCAGAACTAAAGTAACCATCATTTGTTTGGTTTGTCTAAGGTAGGAATGTCCAAACTGCGCCCCTCCAGCTGTGGTGGAACTACGAATCCCATGAGGCATTGCAAGATTCTCACAGCCACAGACATGACTCCGGGAGAGAGATGCTTCATGGGATTTGTAGTTTCACCACAGCTGGAGGGAACCTTGGAGGTAAGAGAAGGTAGTCAGTGCCAAAATGGTGCCTGAAGTTGTCACTTTCCTCATAGTTTTCAAGGCCCAGGAAGCCCTGGGGTGCCAGAGTTACCCAACACATAGGACTGTGACCTCTGCTTAAAGTGACACTACACTCGGGAGTTAAATCTTAAAAATGTTCCCCATGGTCCCTGTGTGTGTTGTAAAGTAGTCACCGCTCCAAATTCACTCCTGTGAGTGGACTACAATCTCAATACAAATTAGTAAACTAAATGTGAGATTGTAGTCCATCACTGGCACGAACTTGGAGCGGTGACTACTTTAAAACACACACAGGGACCATGGGGAACAAAAGTAGCCACCCTCCAGAAGGAAGGACAGTGTCAGCTCCAATTCAGAGATGATTTGAGGATCTACAGCCAAGTGATACACAAATCAGATACATTTTTGTTGATGGGATACTTGAATGCATTTTTAAGGTTTCTGAGTTGTGTGTCACTTTAAATGAGAACTATGGGGTTAGGGCTTTTCCCCATAGTTCTCCTTAGGGTAACGGGAGGACACAAACTAGCATCCTCCCGTCACCCTAAGCTCAGCTGCTGCTCGCGGTATACTGAGACGCCGCAGCTGAAGCGGATCCCGACAATTATGCCTGGATCCGCCCAGCTGCGTGACTGACAGCTGGCTCTGCCTATAGGCAGAGCCAGCTGTACCCTCCCCCGTCCGTTCCGCCAGTCAGCGGATGGGAGCGGGGAGGGGGGAATCCAGCCCCTCCCCTGTCACAGCAGAGAGCCGTGACAGGATTGAGAAGTGAGCGAACGCCGGTACGTGTTCGCTCACCTTCCGATCTACTGAGCCGACCTGTGACAGTCTCATTGTCACAGGTCGGCTAAAACTATGAGGTGAGTGAAAAGCACTCACCTCATAGTTCTCCTTTAATTTCACATATTTTTGAGAGCGCTCGTTCAGAGATGATTTGAGAAGCTACAGCTGAGTGATGTACAAATAATCTACATTTTATTAATATTTAAGGTACTTAAATGTATTTTTAGGATTTAACTCCTGACTTAAGTGTCACTTTAAGGGGTAAAAGTTAACATGTACACAGTTGCACTGAATTTATTTATTGCTTTTAGAGTGTAAGGCAAAAGTGGAGAAATTAAAAGGGATATCACAAGTCGGTCTGTCCAGTCCAGGAGCCAAAGGATTTTTATTTCTAGGAGCCGGCCCCATTGACAACAACTAGAGAAAACCTCAGGTACCAGCTGTAGATTTCAGGCTAGGTTCACACCTAGGCCATTAAGCCGTGTGATATCACAGAAAACAGAGATTTGCATTCCAGTCTATGGAAGCTGTTTGCACCTGTGTGATTTGACATGCAAAAAGCTGCAGGAGCGATTTTTGTGCGGTTTGGGTCCTATAGACATCTATATGGATTGAAAACCGCCCAAACAAAAATGCACGACAACAGCTCACCAGCTCAATTGCCTAGGTGTGAACCTAGCCTGAAGGATCATTGTTTACATAGCTCCTGGGATTAGTCCAGTCCTGGTACAGTATCAGGTTATATTTCTAGCAGAGGTGGGACGAAGCCATTAGATGGTGCTAGGCCATTAGGTTGCTTTTGTGCTCTTAGTATCATCTTGCAGATAGCAATCCTAATAATAATAGTAAATACACACGCACCATTTCACCACACACACACACGCACCATTTCACCACACGCACCATTTCACCACATGCACACACGCACCATTTCACCACACACACGCACCATTTCACCACACACACACGCACCATTTCACCACACAGTCCCTTTAAATGCTCACCTTTGGACAGTATTGCTTTCCATTTTTACATTTGATAAAAGTGCTCATTGTGTGACCATGCTCCTCTTTGCTCATCATGTGATGCGTTTCTGTTACAGGTGTAAGTTCAGCGGGATGTTGACACTGGCAAGCAAGCTCAAGCGGGACGATGGGGTGAAAGGAAGCAGAGCTTCCACTGCAACTTCTGACTCTTCTCGCAGAGTGTCCATCCGTGATAGATTGCTTATAAAAGGTAGTAGTTATTTGCCTTTTTCTAGATGAAATGTTGTCATTTTCCTTAAATTGTGTTTTTGTTTTTATTCATTTTGTTACTTTACTATCACAATAAAAAAGTTCAGAATTAGGAACAAAAGCCAATATTTCATTTGTAAAAAAAACTCTGTTATGCTTTGTGCCAGAATGATATTTTTAGTGTTGTCTGAAACAGGACAAATGATAGAATGAAAGTTTTATACTTTTTATCGATGGTATCACTCATTGTTTTTTAAACTAAAACTTAGCAAAGTACAAGAAAGTGCTTTTTATTCGTTTTGTTACCTTTTTTTTTTTTGTCTATGGATCACATAAACAGTAAAGTAATTATTTTACCAATATCGGCAATAAAGCTCTGGTCTATAGGGGGTATGCTGATGTAGAGCTGAAGTGGTTACAGTTAAGTTTTGGCTGGAAGTCACTTCAACAGGAGAGCGAAGGATGGTTTGTAGTCCTGCCATTACAAAGTGATCTGTAGTGGGCAGACATACAGATTGTTAGAGAAGTTGCCATATAATCCGAGTATACACTCACTGGCCGCTTTATTAGGTACACCTCTTCAACTGCTTGTTAACACAAATATCTAATCAGCCAATCACATGGCAGTAACTTAATACATTTCGGCAAGTAGATATGGTCAAGATGGTCTGCTGAAGTTCAAACCGAGCATCAGAATGGGGAAGAAAGGTGATTTAAGTGACTTTGAACGTGGCATGGTTGTTGGTGCCAGACGAGCTGGTCTGAGTATTTCAGCAACTACACAACCCTCTCGGATTTACTGAGAATGGTCTGAAAAAGACAAAATATCCACTGAGCGGCAGTTGTGTGGGCAAGAATACTTTGTTGATGTCAGAGGTCAGAGGAGAATGGGCAGACTGGTTCAAGCTGATAGAAAGGCAACAGTAACTCAAATAACGACTGGTTACATCCGAGGTATGCAGAATACCCTCTCTGAACACACAACACGTCGAACCTTGAATCAGATGGGCTACAGAAGACCACACCGAGTGCCACTTCTGTCAGCTAAGAACAGGAAACTCAGGCTACAGTTTGTAAGGGCTCACCAAAATGGTAAAATAGAAGATTGGAAAAACGTTGCCTGGTCTGATGAGTCTCGGTTTCTGTTGCGACATTCTGATGGTTGGGTCAGATTTTGATGTAAACAAAATGAAAGCATGGATCCATCCTGCCATCACGGATGTGCAGCCGACAAATCTGCAGCAACTGTGTGATGCTATCATGTCAGTATCAACCAAACTCTTTAAGGAATGTTTCCATCACCTTGTTGAATCAATGCCACAAATAATTAAAGCAGGTCTGAAGACAAAAGGGGTCCAACCCAGTACTAGCAAGATGTACCTAATAAAGTGGCCAGTGTAGTATATCCATAACCGTATTAACCTAAGTAGCCTGTGCTGGTACCACTTCTTACTATTGCAACTCTATCCTCTTCTAGATAAATGGACTATGGAAGAGCCCAGCCACACTGCTTAGTTCCTCCTTGTGCTCTCCTCTTTAAGCAGACTAAACTGTTCTCTTCCAGTGCCTGATTCATGTAAAATAACCACCCAGTCTGATCTCTGCTATGCAGGGGATTGTAGGAGGATGAAAAAGATTTCATCTTCTGTTTTTCATGAGTATGTTATTATATAATTGAATGGTTGTGTTTGTCTTCATTGGTTTCAATTAGGAATTAGGTTAAATGTGGTCTTTTGGTAAATACTGCCGCATTTTGCTAGTCCAGTGATAAGGTCAGCTGACCAGAGAGCCGGTAGCATCATCACACTGCAGCCATTCATTCTGTAGGAAGTGCCCCCTTTTTTTTACCAGAATGAAAGAAAGGTTTTGGGGTGTGGAACATGACTTTTTTAACATCTACTTGAATTTGATGACAATAGGAAATGGCCTTGTTTGTAAGGCAGATCTATGCAGAGCCTGTTGCTGGAGCCATGAAGGGGAAAGCAGAACTCCAGCCAAAACGTTAGATTTAGCTGTGTGGCAAAGGACTTAAAACCACTGTGCTTTGTGTGTGTTTTTTTTAATTGAGAGGCAACTGGTGGCTAGTGACTCTTAAGGCCTGGCTAGTAGCTCAGGACTTGAAATTTTGAGCCATGCTCTATACTATGAGGAGAATTTATCAAAATCTGGAGCAGCTATGCAATGCAACCAATCAGCTTCTCTGTCTCATTTTCAAATCTTATCTGAGCAAACTAAAGAGCGAAGCTTATTGGTTGCCATAGGCAAGTGCTCCATATTATGTCTGCTCCAGTTTTCATAAATCCCCCTCTGAGTGTTCCTGTTCATTCATAACATGAGGACAGAGTATGTTTACTATAACCACAATCCTGAATGAATAGGGGGTGACGTAGATGACTTCCCATTCATTCATAATTGAGGATATAGTTAGCATACTATGTTCTCAATTATTTACATACATTTAGCGATCACTGAGGGTTTGTACTCGCTCTCCTTCCTGACTAGCTGTCACAGGAGGCTGAGCGAGCGGTGCGAGGAGGAGAGCTTGATCTGACAGCTGACTCCTCCCCCACACTGCCGACTGGTCTCCTGTGACAGCGTTGGCTGTCTCCGCCCACACAGCCGCTCGCCTCTGATCTGTGACAGGAGGCTGAGCGATGCGGGAGGTGCCATTTTCGGCCAATATGTTTCGGTGGCCGATATATTGGTGCATCCCCAATGTGTATGTGTAAAAAAATTTTTATTGTTTTTTTTTTTGGACTTTTTAATTCTAATTTTTATTAACCTTTTTTTTTTTCCACTTCACTTTATTGCTATCACATAGGGGCTAACAACCCCCCTATGTGTTAGCCAATTTACTCTGACAGGTCCTTTTTATGTAGACATTAGGCTCTAAGACCTCTAATATCACCTAGGGACCCCCAGAGAAGCTGATGAAGCAGAGGTCTGCTTCACCAGCTTCTCTCTGGCTTCTGTAGCCCGAGAGTGACAGATGAATGAGAAAATGATGTAATATACATCACTTCCTGCATTCGGACAATGGGGAGGAGTTCAGAGGCAGATTGTATACTGATCACACCTGCATGCATATTACAAGCAATCGAGCATCTCTACAGAGCGCGCCATCGCCGGGTGTTTACATTTTCAAACAGATTTCCCACTCGTGCATGCCGCCTAGCGCCGTGCATGAGTGTGACTCCTTTCTGAGAGCAGGGAACGCTTCTAAGAAGTAGAAACACGGGTAAAAAAAGTATTATAACATTTCTAAAAAGCTAACCATGCTCCAGTACTACCTCCTGTAAAACCAAGAACAGGGTAAAGAATTTCCAAGCATACCAATGTACTTCACTGAAAAATATCAATTTATGAAGTTGCTAAAAGCAAATATTTGCATGCATTTAGCGACCCAGTTGTTAAGACATGTTCTTGTTCAGACATGTTGACAAGTCTGACTCCTTTTTCGGCAACATTCTCAATATGTGTTTGGCCCTGTGTCATTGCAATCGACCTTCTCTCATACTAGTGTTTTTTTTTTTGTTTTTTTTTTAAACAGCTTGAGTGGTCTGCTATACGAGCAATTGTGCATCATCTATAATACTAGCATACAAATACTTTGTCAAAATCATCTTTATAATTAAAGTTTTGTTATACTAATGTGCCCAAGAAAACAGTGTGATGACTCCAAGAGCCTCTTTTGTAGCAGGTATGCTCATGCAATGCTAGACAGACAGGAAGAGTGATGCAGAGCAGACATAGGAGTCAAGTAGTGGGATGAGATCAATGTGGATAGGCAGCTTGTAATATGGAAACTAAGAGCGTGTGTCAGTTATATACAGCAGAACGGGCCAGATCCCGACAGAGTGGGTGTCCTTTCTTTTTTTGATGTTCTTTTAATGTTCTCTCTAGGTTTGGTAAGAATTGCTAGTTTTTGCTTACATGCATTTCAGCTTGTGGTTTTACCATTATTCCCGTGCAGTTTTTGGTGTTCAAGTTTTAATTTGCGTGTGATTTACAGTCATCTCAGATAAATGATAAATGTTCATAGAAGTTCAATTGATAGTCACATTTAGTAATATTTTGGTTTCTGGGATGACCTTTGCACGAGGTGATTTGGGTCCTCGGAACGTGATGAATGAATGGTCATCAAGTCCACAAGGTGGACCACCACCAGGCATTACTCTAAACCCAAAATTTTTTTCTAATGCTTTGTTTAAAGGTCAATAAAAGCTGATGAACCCTTAGAGCAGTGGTTCTCAACCCGTGTAACCTCAGGACCCACATTTGTCCTGGGTCATTAAGTTGTGACCCAAGTCGCACTGCAATGGAACAAACATTAGTGTTTCCATCCATGTGTGCATTGCTTATACAGCTCACATGCACGCCTGTAGAGGTGTTGGGGGCCAGAATGTGACGTCACTCCAGTCCAGGCACCTCTATAGGACATGTGAGGGAGCTGTAAGCAATGCACGTATGGATGGAGCTCCCTCGCGGCCATACTCCCAGCCCACCCCACCTCACCTCAATTCGACACTCGACGTCGGGCACATATTTTGAATGGCTGCTCAGTGTAAGAATGGACAGTGCTGCATCTAGAAAAGTGGAAGGCACGGGGTTGCGAGCCACTTTTGGGTCACGACCCACCAGTTGAGACCTCTGCCTTTAGAGTAATGGTTTACATACTAAAGAATAAGGTGTAACTATTTTGCAGTTATTCTTTAGTGTCTTGGCAGTAGAGAATTACTGTACTCTGCACATCCTCAGTGGTCTTTGCACTTTCTGTTAATTCGGCGACTTTTTATGTTTTACTATGTACACTTATGCAGAGTGTTTTCCCTGTTGAGCAGTTAGTGATCTTGTTGCATTGCACAGCTGGGTCATGCCATATATCTGTCTCCGTGTTCCTCTGGGCATTTTTAGCTCTCTGCATTAGCAGCTCAGTATTACACACAATAAAAACTGATTCTTTGGAACACATTAATGAGTTATTGGTGTCTGCCGTAAATGCTCCAAGCTTCCCTTGTTTGTAGAAAGTTGAATTATTAATGTTAAAGTGTGTCTGGTTCCAATTTCCTCATGTAAGTGGATGACCCCGTTCAGAAATATCCACTTTACATCTCTGCAATAAATAATATACACAGCTCGGCAGAATAGCGTGTGTGACATTGTGTCTGTATCCCCTGTGTAAGACTCCTTTTAATATTGCATGTTTAAATTGTTCCATCCTTAGACTATGTATTTCTATATTTAACTTAAATTTATAGTGCAGATAAAGTTTTACTGGAGTCGCTATAAATTGGAAGTTGTGCTTTTTTTAAAATCTTTTCTTTGTAATATTATTCTGGAATAGGTTCTCCGTAGGTTATTGCTCAGTTTGGTGCAGTGCATAAATAAGGGAGATATTAAGCAAATTGCTGTTGATTTCAAATAGTTTTTTTTTGTAAAAAGCATTGTGCAACTGTACGCTGCCTACGCCACTAATATGTGGGTGGAAGGTAGCGCAGACACGAACGACAAAGAGGAATGACCGGTAGGTTGTGAGACTGGTGCAGACTAGATGGTGGGGTTAGGAGCTGGATGGCCCCTGATTATAAAGGTTTCTTGTAAACCTTTTGTTTTGTCCATCCACAACTGGCTATGGGTGGGTGGTGGGGACACCCCTATTTTGACTTTCCTGAGGGACTTCCTCTGTGAGATCTTTCCAGAACAGTCCACAGCCCTACACTTTGCCTCTGCAGAGCCTTAATTCTATCTATTCTGCAAACCCCCCCCCCCCAAAAAAAAAGAAGCCGCCTTCATCTACCCAGACCTGAAAGTTGCCTGGCAATTCTGCTGGTTCACTGGCTTAAAAATGTGTCACTATGCTGAATGTAATGTACATATTTGGAAAGTTGGACTAAAGTCTGACGGTCCTGTCTATGTACTTATTCTGGGCTGGTTAGTCACTTACAGTAATGAATAAAAAAGCCACATTGAAAGCTAGGCATCTATCATTTACATGAATAGAAGTCGGCAATGACGGCCTCCATTTTTCTTCCAGGAAAAGATTTTTTGTCCTGGTGTGGACAAATTGATATGGAATTCTGGAGCCAGTCTGTCCAGTCCAAAAGCCAGCTATCTTGACAACAACTCTCAAAAGTTAGGCGCAAGCTGTAATTTTTAAGGAGCATTGGCTACCAGCCCTGCTTTAACATGATCCTGTCAAAAAAAATAAATCCTAAAGTACCCTGCAAAAGAAGTATTATACTTGCCTCCCTGACGGCCTGTCTCTCCTACCTTCGGCCAATCAAATCTTGAAAGTGTTGTATGTCTGTGTTCCCCGCCTGCATGCTGTAGTTGTTAAAATAAAATCAATATTGCACTCACAATGATGGTAGGAGGGTAGCACTTCAAGAATGGCTCTTGGGTCTGGCAATATCAGCCCACTTCTCAGTTGCTTGGAGGTACCACAGGGAAGAGGATCTGTATTAATTCCAGGTCATGTCACTGTTCAGCGCATTGCAGGGTCACTTTCTCCAGTCTCAACTTAAAACTTAAACTCAACTTAGGTTGCTGTGGTAGCTCTAGTGTATCGGGACCATATACAGCAATCTGCCATAACATTATGACCACCTGCCTAATATTTAATAGGTCCCACTTTTGCCATCAAAACAGCCCTGATGTGTTGAGGCATGGGCTCCACTGGACCTCTTAAGGTATGCTTTGGTATCTGGCACCGAGCAGTCAGTAGCAGATCCTTTAAGTCCTATAAGTCGTGAGGTGGGGCCTCCATGGATCTGACTTGTTTTTCCAGCACATCCTCCAGATACTCCATTGGATTTGAGATTTGGATAATTTGAAGTCAACACCCTGAACTTGTTGTGTTCCTGAAACCATTCTTGAACAATTTTTTGTGGCAGGGTCCATTATCCTGCTGAAAGAGATCACTGCCATCAGGGAACAATGTGTCTATGAATGGATATACTTGGTCAGCAACAATGTTTAGGTAGACGGTACGTGTCAAAGTAACATCCACGTGAATGGCAGGACCCAAGGTTTCCCAGCAGAACATTGCCCAAAGCATCACACTGCCTCTGCCAGCTTGCCTTCTTCCCATAATGCACCCTGGTGCCATCTCTTCCCCAGGTAAGCGACACAAATGCACCCAGCCATCCACATGATGTAATACAAAACGTGATGCTCATTGTAGGGGTGGGCATGGACACCCTGACCGGTCTATGGCTACCCAGCCCCATACGCAACAAACTGCCATGCACTGTGTGTTCAGACACCTTTCTATTGGAGCCAGCATTCATTTTTTTCAGCAAATTGGCTCTTTTCAAAGTCGCTAAAATCCTTACGCCTGCCAGTTTTTGTTTTTTTTGCTTCCAATTCATCTTCAGGCACAAAATGTTCCCTTGCTGCCTAATATATGCCACCCACTTCCAGGTGCCATTGTAATGATCGGTGTAAATCTATGCTTATTGTTGGCAGTGGAGATGACAATTCTCTCCATCACCAAAAATATTCTTTTTACTTTTTGTCAGAATTACGTTTCTGTAGGTTGCATAAGGTACAGCTCTGACTTTCTGCTTGTCACTAGAGATTCAGACTGGTGTAGATCTTTGCCATGTTTCCACTTTCTTGTACTGGATGTATTTATTTACTTTTATTCTTTTCGTTTCATTATCTTATGATTTTTTTTATTTTTTATTCCTTTTCTGAGTCTTTTTTTTTTTTTTTAAATGTCTCGTCTTTTACGCATGTTTGTATACTGTGCCTTGTTTCAGCAGGCTTCTAGCCATAAACTGAAATATTATTTGCTGTTCTGCTCTCCTGAAGCTGGAATATTGTTCTTTTATGCTCTGTCAGGTTCAGAGGGCAGACCAGTGGAAATTGGAAAATCTGCACACTCTGCTGCCTTTATGACATCCCACACATTAGAAATGTCTTGCGGAAAGGTTTCATTTTGCAGCTGTGAATTTTCAAGCTCTGTAAATTGCTACTTCATTTCCTATCTACATTTTAGTGTTTAGTCCTTTTTTTTTCCTCGTTTGTGGAGAGACATTATGTGACATTAGTTGTGTCCTATAAAATACCAGAGTACTGTATCTCAGCACAGCATTTTATAGTTACCAAATGGACATTGTTGTTGCTATATTTTTCTTCAAGCTGTATGTTGGTTTGCTGCTGCATTGGTGCAGTGTCTGCTTTCTTAGCTCAGTTTTTGTAGGTTCAAAGGCAAACAAAGACTATAGTTCTTAATCACAAGTTGGATCATTAAAGTGACACTAAACTCAGGAGTTAAAGTGACATTAAAGTTAAAAAAAATTCCCTCCCCCCAATGTTAATGTTAGCACTTACCTTAAATGATGTCTCTTAATCTGATCTTCTTCTTTCCTGATGTTTTCATCTGTTCCTCCAGCGGTGCGGTGGCTCTCCGATCCAGCGCTGACTCCTCTGTCTTTGCTGGTACTTCCTGTCCCACGGTGTCTGCATGCGGGTGTACGCGTCCATAGACTTACCTTGCATCTCTCCTCGTCTCCCGGCCGAAAATCTGACCTGCGCATGCACCCGCCCCAAGATGCTTCGCGGCCGCCCGAGCAGTTTCGGATTTTCTTATGGGAGCGCGTGGCGAAGACGGCGTAAGTTTAAACCGCTGTTAAAGCTTTTTTTTTTTTTACTTTTTGCATATATCTACTGCTTGCTAGCCGTAGATATATGCAAAAAAACACCTGAGGGTTTAGAAACCCTTTAAATCTTAAAAATACATTCAAGTAACTGTTTACAACAATGTATCTTCTTTGTGCATCACTCGGCTGTAGATTCTCAAATCATCTCTGAATTGGTGCTGACACCGTCATTCCTTCTGGAGGGTGGCTACTTTTGTTCCCCATGGTCCCTGTGTGTGTTGTAAAGTAGTCACCGCTCCAAGCTCTCTCCTGTGATGGACTACCAGCTCAATACAAATTAGTTAACTAAACGTGAGATTGTAGTCCATCACTTTGGTGAATTGGCTACTTTACAACACACACGGGGACCATGGGGAACAAAAGTAGCCCCCCTCCAGAAGAAAGGACAGTGCAAGCACCAATTCAGAGATGATTTAAGGATCTGCAGCCAAGTGATACACAAATGAGATACATTTTTGTTACTAGTTAAGATACTTGAATGCATTTTTAGGTTTAAAGTGACATTAAACCCTCAGATTTTTTAACATAAACCAATACTGTAATGTGCGCCTTACTGTAATCCATGGTTGTTTCCCTTCTCTTTGCTGCTCTTCCTTTTAAATCCTCATGTCTTCTCATGATTGGGGAGAACTTCCCTTTCCAGCTCAGGGCCTCTTCCTGTAGGGCTGGCTCAGGTTACAAGCCTATAGAAACGTATACACAGACACCGTGTATCCATTCCTGAGACAAGGCAGTCTGCTGCAAAACAGAAGTTCTGCAGAGCATGAGAAGAGATACAGATTTAAAAGGAAGAGCAGCAAAGAGAAGGGAAATAACCATGGATTACAGTAAGGCGCACATTACAGTATTGTTTTATGTTAAAAAGTCTGAGGGTTTAATGTCACTTCAACTCCTGAGTTTAGTGTCACTTTATAGCTGGTCAGGGTAACAGCCGAATGTGAAGTCTTCCTAGCAGACGACCTTAACACCAAAAAAAACCTTTTTACTTTGTAAAAAAAAAAAAAAAAAAATGAATTGGCACCTTCAGCCTGGAAGCCAAGCGTAGTGGATGAGGTCCTCCAATGAACATCCCGCTGTAGATTGACCAGAGTCTAGAATGCTTGGCACTTATATTTCCTTCAGATGAGAAGAATGCCAATACACATAATGTAACATTTTATAATGAACAGTCTTACATTTCTTTCTTGTTTAGGTTTTTAGTTCTGATGTATGATCACTGTTCATCCTTTTTTTCTTTTCTCTATTTTGTGTCTTTCAGAAGTAGCAGAACTTGAAGCAAACCTACCATGTAAGCAGAAGTGTTTGATTTGTTCTTTCTATATCTCTTTGTACAAGATCGCTATGCATCTTCACACTGAGTGAATAAAGGAAATCTATCCTGAGAGAAACATGGGAATGCCATTGCCTCCTTTATATTCTACATATGCTTGTTGCATGGTTGTCATATTCCAACTCTGGCTTCCAAATCTTGATTTACAGACCTAGAACAAGAGCACAGATGAGGATTTCTGACTGTACTGTCTTTTCAGACCTCTGTACTTATCCAGATCAGTAACTTGGAGAGTAGTGAAGTCAGTGAATCAGCATAGTGGCTAGGCACTGGAAGGGGCTCTTGAGTGCCTGTGTTAGTCTTCAAATAAATCCTCCTGGAGCTGCTTGGCCCAACAAGGATTCAGGGCCTCAGCTTCTAAATTAATCCGTTTCATTCTATTGGCAGAGCCTCTACTGAGGTTCTGGAGTTTGCCAGTTAAATGATAGGCTGAGAGAGAAAGCGGCAATAGCAAGGGGTGGGGCTTAATTTCAGCTTAGAGTGAAGCCCTATGTACAGCTAGGCTGGCCCTAGAATCTTATGTGCTCCTCTGCGATTTTAAGACTTACACAGGTTAATCTTACCTTGGATACGTTTTTAGGTCAGGTCACTTTCTAATGTTGCTTTGTGATTTTATATGGCGATAACTGCAGATTTTATCACTTGCGTCAGCTAAAAGTCATCTTTAGTAAAATGTTTTGCTAGCTGGGTATCACAATTACTTTTAAGATGTTGTAGTTATTATTAGTTGAAAGTTTGAAAAACAATGTCTTGTTTGCACAACATTCACCTACCTATCATGAAGTCTTTAGCAAATGTATTTTCAGTAAATATTGAGATACTAAACATATTAAGCAGTTGTCGTAATATCAGACTATATTTTTATATGTAATACAATGCATGAAGATAGTAATGCTAAGCCTTTTTTTTCCCCATTTCTCTAGGTACGTGTAAAGTGAATTTCCCTGACCCCAACAAATTACATTATTTCCAGCTGATGGTGAGCCCAGGTAATCTGGATATTAGTGTGTGTAGCTTTGTATTGTGGATGAACGTGACAGTAAAAATAGCGCTTTGTATTTGTGATATATTTAGCATTATGTCTACAACTGACATTATACTAGAGGCTTTGTATATTATTTTTTACTAACAAAATTATATCCAGGGGTATCCTAAAAATTCTACATTAGATATCCCTTATTCTACCAATAAGAGTGGCATTGGCATTCTGTGTTGTGTGTTCACTTATTGTTCATTCTGCTTGCCTTTTAGTTATGCACTTTCCATTGTGCACTGTAAGCTAGAATAAATGGAAGAGAGATGCTTGTGTAATAACAAAGCCTGAGGACCTATACAGATCTGTCTAGTCCAATGTGGTGCTTTAACGTGCGGTATGTCGTGCGTTGCATTCAGGCAGCACATTCATTTGAATGGTCTGCCATAGCACCACAACAACCCTAAAATTCTAATTCTTTTAATACAAGATCATACATACATATAATTGTCAGGTCAAAGTGAGCGGATTTCCATTTCATAACATTACACAACCATTTCCTTAAATTATCTGCAGTCAGATAACATAGTACCATGGCTGGGATGGGGAGAAATGATCTGCAGTCAGATGACATGGTACCATAGCTGGGATGGGAGGAATGTTCTGCAGTCAGATAACATGGTACCATGGCTGGGATGAAAAGGAATGATGTGCAGATCTCAGGACATGATGCACTGTAGTAGTGCAGGACCAAAACTTCTGTACTCAGAACAATGCGGGATGTACCCGGGGGGAGCCCACCCTATACCTTACCATCCTCAGAATGGGCTGCATGGTGCAGCCTCTCTTCTCCTCCCCTGGCGGGTCCCGGTGCTTTGTGTTGGTGCAGGAGTCTCAGGAGGGAGTAGATGTGCGGGCTGGCACTGTAAACAGGTGGTACCCAAGAAGGCTGCTCCAAGGTCTGCAGCAAACGTGGGACCTTTTAGCAGCCGCTTCAGTTTGAAAATGTAAAGGGCCAGAATCGGTTTTGGGTATCGGGGCATTTTTACGTGTATGAGTACTTGTAAAAAAAATAAAAATACCTAGGATACTTGTATCGGTGCATCCCTAGTATAATCCATACAGGATATGTATAGTATGTGTTCAGCAGCTGGCACAGCCCGTGTGGATCAGTTCTGCATTTTCAAATCAAAAAAGTTTTGTCATGTTGTAGCAAAGCTTTTGTTCTCAGAAAATTAGTATTTGCAATCCTTGACATCCCCTCCACCCACAAGGTAAAGAGTTCTAAAAAAGGTGCACATGGGACTTTAACTCGCAGCCACAGAGAAAGAGTGGTGCTTAGGTGGCATTAAGTGTATTTCTGGATGTACACTGTCATGTAGGCTCTAATCTTCCCAGTTAGGAAAGCTTTTGTATATATTCAATGGCCATTCCCATTGTGCACCTTCCCTGCTGGTTATAAGGTAATCAAGCCCTTACCAATTTGCTTAACTACTCTAAACTAACCAGGTATAGCCAAGCTCTAATTCAGTTAATCCACAGTCATGGCCATTCATTTCCAATTTATGAAGTGACAAAAGAAGCCCAGTGTGGTAGGAATGAAGCATAAAAGGGATAATGGACCAGTGCACATTTACTCTCCCTGGAGTTGTATTCTAATGATTAGCTTCTTCATAGTGGAATGTTGGCTAATAACCTCTAAAAATGGCAACTTTCGGAAATTGCGTTGCATCCCTGGTTTCTCTCCTCCCCGCTGGGCGCTTCTCTGTGTCCTCCCTGACACAGCGTCCAGGGGGAAAAGACAAACTGTCACAGGAGGTTGAGCAGGGCGGGGGAGGAGACCAATGTGAGCGGCCGGCGTCTCTCCTCCGGCACCGCTCAGCCTCCTGTGACAGATTAGGAGAGGGTGTGAGGGCGGAGACAGCTGTCAGTGGTGTCACGAGAGGCTGAGCTCTCGCCCCGCCTCCTGTGACAGTTTAGGAGACCAGCGGTGTGGGGGCGGAGACAGCTGTTACAGGAGGCTGGGACCGGTGGTGCGGGGGAGGAGTCAGCTGTCAGAGGAGTTTGAGCTCTCCTCCCTGCACCGCTCGCTCAGCCTCCTGTGACAGCGTGGATGGAGAGCGGGTTCAAGCACTCAGTGATCGCTGAGTGTTTGTAAATAATTTAGGACATAGTATGTTTACTGTGTCCTCAATTATGAATGAATGGGAAGTGATTCCTGTTCATTTATGATGAGGATATAGTAAACATACTATCTCCAAGTTATGAATGAACAGGAACACTCAGTATAGAGGCTTCTTGTTCAGTTATAACAGGGGCTGCAGAATAAGAGATTGAGGACTGTGTTGTGTTCTCAATCTCTTTTTCTATTTTAAAAGGGAAATGTCAGGGATCTGTTTAGACCCCTAATGTTTCCCCGAAGCCCCCAACAGTAAAGTCAAAAAATAAAAATAAAATATTTTAAAACATTTTAAAAGGTTAGAAATAAAATAATTATTCGGTTCAG